AGCACCTGCATCAAACGGTCTACAGTTCATTGAACAAGTGGCACACAAAGTTGGACTGTCGGGCAAGCACAGTTCAAGACTTCAAGTTCATTCAAGATCAGCAGCATTCAGCAAACACATTCAAGTTCACTGAAAGTTTGAAACACGACAGAGTACAACAAAGACAGACAACGCAAGGGCTTAACAAGACACATTCAAGTTGATTCAACAAACACACTCAACAAACTTGAAAGACTTCAGCTGTTGAGCGAATTCAAGTTTCTAGTTTCAACAGAAGAAAGTTTAGCAAACACATCTCAAAATGCCAAAATGGTTTCTTTCTCTCTCTCTCTCTCTCTCTCTCTCTCTCTCTCTTCAGCGCGATGTCTGACTGCGCTGTAAGTCGGAGTCGTCCTCTGCCTCCGACGAACTCCCATCTCCCTACTGGCCTTCGCATTCGGAGTTGTCCTCTTCCTCCGACGACCTCCCATCTTTCTCGCCGCCATCACTGCTGCCACGGCCACCTCCACTTTCATCGCTGCTGTCGCTGCCATCACTCGCACCTCCGCTGCCGCCGCTCCCGTCATTTTCATTATGCTCAGCCCCGCTTTCGTCGCTGCTGCTGCTTCCGTCGCTGCTGCCATGTTTGTCAGCGCTGCTCGTCTTTTCAAGCGCTGCTTCCTCCTCCTCTTCGGCGGGCTGCACCTGCAAACGTCCCCGCTTCCGTGTCCCCCTTCCACTTCCAGCCTCCTCCTCTTCCACGGGCGCCTTCCGTGGTCGTCACCGCTTTCTTGTCGCACGTGTGGGTGCACCAACCCCTTCCAAATCTCCACCTTCCGCATCCTCAACTTCCTTATCACCTGTCCCCCCATGAGTCGCAGCGTCCTTTCGAGGTCTCCCTCTCCCTCGTTTGGTGGGTACGGAGGGTGGTGCACATGCAGCAGCCCGCGCAGCTTTGTACTTGTTGGCATGCTCAAGGGTCCTGGTCCTGGTAGCCTGATCCAAGTCATGCAAATGCTGCCGGGCCAAAAACTTGGAAGCTTTCGTTGCCTTCCTCCACGACTCGTTGAGCTCCCTCTCGAGCTCGAACAACTTGCTGCGCAGCCGACGATGCTGAATTGTGACCTCCTCCGCAACAGCCGTTTGTTGAGTTTGGACAGGAATGTCCTCCTCGTCGGAGCCCGAGTCGTCATTCTCACCTTCGTCGTGGACCGAATGTGTTCCGCGCAAGTGGGCACGCCACTCCCCCAACCGCAGGCGTGCATCCGACGCTATCTCATCTCGTTTGAGATCTTCCACCGGCTCATCCTCTTCCCACTTCGCCGCATCGTAAGCCTTCGGTTTCTTGGTCAAGAAGTCCAACAAGTGCTGGTTCCATCTGTTGAAAACCAGCGTGCTTAGCTTGACGGCGCCAAGATTGTTGCGGAGACGGCTGTGAATCCGTTCGAACAAGCTCCAATTCCTCTCGCAACTAGAGGAGGAGGAGCCTTGTCCAAGGAGCCGAACGGCTTGCTTTTGGAGGATGGGCATGTCGCTGCACCACTTCCGCCACCACCTCGCCGGCTGCATCGTACGGGCTTGTGTCCTCGCATTTTCGGTAGTGTGCCTCCCGGTGCCCTCGATCCAAGAACAGACCTCCGCGTCGACCTCCYTGTAYGCAGCCTCCTTGCACCACGAGTAAAGCCATGTCCAAAACCCGTCCACAATCTCTGCATCGGATTCCGGCCGCGACGCTCTGTACTCCGGATCCAAAAACAACGCAGCACAATGCAGTGGTGAAGTCATTGTATTCCAGCGCCGCATTATTATASCCTCTAGCTCATCCTTTTCTGCTTCCGTGAAGTGCCTGCTCTCCCTCAGTTTCTCCACAGCGCTGTCCATACGGGCGTACACCTTACTGATGGTGGGGCCCGCGCCGTCGACCTTCTTTAGAAGATGGAGGAGGTTCTCAGACGTTTACATCACCTTCTCGATATCTGCCCAGAAGGTGTCGTCGAAGATGGCATGTGTCACCCTCACAAACAGTTCGTGTTGCGAAGTGTGCACAATCGTTGGCTTCCGATCATCGTCCGTCAAACACGCTCGCAGCGGCAAGTCTATTCCCTGCAGGCTCGACAACATGATGAAGTTCGTGGCAAACCGGGTCGCACCCGGTTTTGCCACGACGCTGCCATTGGAGTAGTGGAGGAGGAGATCCCGCACCCGTGAAAGGTTCGTGAAGAACTTTGCTACCTCCGACGCCCTTTTAATAACTTCGCCCACCCACGTGATCTTCGCGAAAGACTCAAAAATTAGGTCGAGTGAGTGAGCTGTGCATGGGACCGAGAAGATGTGCGGGTGATCCGCTTCCACCATTCGCCCCGCAGCTGCACAAACGACAGTATTGTCCATAACGACCCCCACCACTGCCTCCGCACCTATCTCCTCTATTGCCCTCTTCAGAATGCCATAGTATGCCGAGGCGCCTTTGTTGCGCCCTGACATGCACACACTTCGCCAGAAGACAGAGCCCTTCGGGAAGGAGACCATCACATTGATGTATGGTCTTTGTCGGCGATCTGTCCAACCATCAAGCTGCAACATGCAGCCAGTGGTTGACCACTCCTGCCGCAGCTCCTCCACCCTCATCCCGACCCTCCCCCTCGTCACTTCGACCCTCTTTGTCCTTGCAGTCTCGAATTTCGCGTACCGGAATCCTTTGGGCGCATACATGAGTGCATGCACCATTTTGTCCCAGTACTCGCTCCGCATCATATTGAATGGGATACATTCTGCCGTCATCCAGTCGTTCACTGTGCGCTGTGTTTGCTCGTGCGCCGTGATAACGGCAGCACTGTCCTCCATCATTGTTTGACGAAGGCCGACCACACCTGTGGACGACTGGGGAGTCGCATGACGGAGCCCCGCCGCAGACTCCGATCGATCGACCACTCCGCCTTCAACAGTCCGCTGCTCGTTGTCGTCCTCCGATGACCCCCCCTACGCAGTCTCTCCCGTAACGGCTCCCAACTCCGACCTCGCAGCCAATCTCCCCTTCACCCTCCTCGAGTACTCTTCTCTCGGCACAACACCTCGCAGGCGCTCGACATCGCATCGTGAACCCTTCAAGAAATGGTCCCTTGCCCTGCTCGCTGTCCCGGCCAGAGGCATGTCACAATAATTGCAGATCCGCTGTTTGTTACCCTTGTCGGCTCTGCCGCTGTCCCCCACTTCCGTGAAATGCTTCTTCACGGCCTCACTGCGGCTCTTTGTCATCCTGCAACGAAACGATGAAAGCAGGAGCAATGCTGGTTAAATCCAGTTCATTCAACAACCCTCAATGCTCTCCCTCCCTCAATGCTCTCCCTCGCCCACTCTCTATCTCCCCCTATCTCCCCGACAATTAAGCAAACCATCACCCCCTATCTCCCCGACAACAGCGGACTGCAAACGATCAACAACAACAAAAATCAATCAATCAATCAATCAATCAATCAATCAATCACAATCAATCAATCAATCAACCAATCAATCAATCAACCAAACTCCCCGAACCTCCCCCCCGAAAACTCGAAAGATAGGAGCACAACAACAGTTGGCTACAAAAGACCGACAACAACAACAACAATCAATCAATCAATCAATCTCCCCGAACCTCCCTTCCCCCCCTTCTCTCCCTCTTCCCCCCCTATCTCCCCGAGCTTCCCACCCTCCCTTGTCTCGCCTAACCTCAATCCTAACACGGCGGGTCTTCCCCCTCCCTCCCCGAACCTCCTCCCAGACCTCCCCCTTGTCTCGCCGAATCAAGATCGAAAGATACGAGCACGACAACAGTTCACCACAAAAGACTGACAACAACAACAACAACAA